GTCCTGAACTAAATCTTCTCCTACTTGCCATTTTGCAATTCTGTAGAGAGCAAAATAGTGGGAGTTACATCCTTCAAATCACATGCAAGATACATCACCAAATGAGAGCCAAGTGCTGAAGATCAGAACAGGGCGTTAAGCTTAACATGGATGGATCTGATACATACAGTAGAACCTCAGTGTTCCGAACACCTCAGGAATGGAGGTTGTTCGTATCTCTGAAATGTTTGTAATTCTGAACAAAACATTATGGTTGTTCTTTCAAAAGAAAAATGCTGCTTTTCACCATCTTAATTTAAATGAAACAAGCACAGAAACAGTTTCCTTACCTTGTCAAATCTTTTTTTAAAAATCTCTCTCTTTATTTTGTAGTAGTTTATGTTTAACACAGTACTGTACTGTATTTAGTTTGGAGCTTTTTTGTCTCTGCTGCTGCCTGATTGAATGTTTTCAGTTCCAAATGAGGTGTGCGGTTAACCAGACAGTTCGTAACTCTGGTGTTCGTAACTCTGAGGTTCTACTGTATGTTCATTTCTCCTCTAAAATTTTCTGATACTTCTGAGCTGAATTCTGCACATACACCTCGGTCCTGGAAAGACTTATGCCTGTGACCGTGTATTTTCTGCAGCTGTGTAAGAGTTTGCAGGAACAGAACCAAGGTTACACTGGAGTCCTTTCACTGACAACAGTGGGATTGCTCCTATATAACAGAACAGAATTTGGCTGTGTAACATAAAAGTGCCATGAATGAGTTCATGCTAAGTAATGATCACCACTGAAAAATAGCATAAAGTGAGAGAAACTGCACCAAATTTAAACAAGTTAAATAACCGTATAGTTTTTAATGATAGCTCTTAAATCAGATTTCACTTTCAAGGATGCGTTGTATCTCTACTAGCCCATTTCCATCAACAATACTTTATGGGCTAAATTATGGATCCCCCTGCCAGGGTGTAGTGGATGAGGAGAGATCACAGGAGGCACCCATATTCTAAACACAACATGCCCTTAAGCACTAGCCTGTTTGACCAGCCAGCATGCCCAGTGATGCCCTTTGCCCCCAAGCAGGCGTGACCACTGCCTTACCTTGCTCGCACACCTGCGGGAGTCAAGACTCCCCTCTCCCAAAATCAAGCCATTGGCACAATATATGTATATATATTTGGGGGTTCTTTTAACTTGTTTTTGAACCTTTAGAGTTCACATTTTCAAGATTTTCTCCTCATCCTTGAGGGCTAGAAAGTGACTTTTTTTTTAAAATGAAAGCTGAGATTCTCACATAGCAACATGACTCCAAGAGCTGGGGTGTTTAGAAAAACACCATGAACTGCAGAACTTGCAATAAAATTGCAAAAGTTGGCAAGAAAGTAGTGGGCAAAGTTAGGAATCACCATGTCCAATAATACTTGAGTTATTCTATTTGTATAATCTCACAGAACGTAAATTTAGTCATCAAGTGGTTAAAGATTACAACCATAATTATCTGAAATATAGTTATGTTATAAGAGAACAGAATGGCAGGTGGCAGGGATGTGAAACTTGGAGGTTTGGGTAAAACCTAAGCAAGCAAGTTGCATGCCTCTTTGTCAGCACTATCTCCTCAGTGGTCAAAGTTCAACTCTAATTAAAAGCAACCTAGAGAATGCAAAACTGTAAGTTAACATTTTAACAATTAACTAGGATCTTTCAAGTTCTTAACACTTTACGGTCAGTATTTTGTCAAATACGGCCAAAACTTTCAGAGTTAGGCACCTAAATCCATCTTTAGGCACAAAGCTGGAGGCCTGGTTTTCCGAAATTCTGGACAACCATAATTTACAGTGAATTCAAAGGGGATTGGCGTTCTTACCATCTTTGGTAATCAGGCCACTTATTTTGGTGGTTAAATATACTTATTGTAGATGCCCAACTTTACACAACTAAATTTGAAAATTTTGGCCATATATACACAATGCCACGAACAATTAAAGTCCTAGTATCATTATTTCACAGAAACCAGAATTTTGGATATTGAGTGTAGCGAGCAAAAGTTTGCAACTGTGGGAGCAACATGCGCATAAAAAGTGCACACATGCCTACAATACCCTATATTTGCATGCACAGCCCAATGTGCTTTACTACTGATTTGCATGTGCAATAATTCACTTTGGAACCACAAAAGAGTATTTGCACTCACAATTACAGATTTTGTGGGAGAAATAGGTAATGTGTACTTTTCAGGGTGCACCAACAACTAAAAAATTGGCCATCCTAAAGGAATCCTTCAAAAAAGGTTCACACATGCTTAAGGAAAAGCTCATTTAACATACCCCAACTCAGTTCGGTTTTGTCCTGACTGCTGCAAAGAACTTCCAGCATAAAGTAATCAAGCTCTGGGAGGGGGATGCAGTTCTTAAAAAATGATCTTTCAAAATACTTTAAAATTGTGCATCATTAAAGGTAATTTTAAATAGGGAGCATTCAGTACTACCCAACTCCATGGTTTTGATGTGATGCTTATGTTACTGGAGACGCTGGGGGGGGGAGGGGAGAGGGAGGAATTCATTAGCTTTCCAAGAGCTGTTGGAAGCATCTGGAATAAAAATAGCTCAGAACTGTGGACTCTATATTTTTGATCAAAAGTTCAAAATACGGAGGAAAGTCCATCAAAGCGTAGTCCCTGAGGGAGCCAGATGCTCTCCTGCCCCTCTGAGCACATCCTCTTCCTCCTGAGTCTCTTCAAAGGCTCTACATCTCCTTCCACATTAATTTCGCAAATTCCAATCGCTCACCTTCAAGGCTGTACATACCACCGCTTTTCCTACATTTTCCGCTTGCACCACTCAGGATTTATGTTGTGCTAATTCTGCTTCCCTTCATGTCCACTTTGCATCCTCTAGCACCTCTGTGATTTCCCTAACTTCTCCTCTCCCCTTGCAATAACATCCTCAATCTCATTTTCCATGCAGCCTCCATCTCCTTCCTCCAAATTCCTCCTCAAAGCTCACCTCTTAATGGACTGATGGATGGGAACTGACAAAGCATAAATAAAACAGATCCATCCACTAACCACAGAGGACGAGATGACAGACTAAGGACTCGTCAATATCTATTTAAAGGTCCACAGTGCACCTGCCCTCCACGTAAAAATGCTGGAGAATCAGGCCAGGGCAAGGCATTTGAAGGTATATAGGTTTTTGGTGGGAGGGGATTTGTCTGTGTCTTAGGTATGTAATGGAAAGGTACATATCACCAAGGTACCCAAGCACTTATTAATCTACATTGTTCATTAATTGTGTGGACACCAGTAATACAAGCATCTCTATATAGAGAAGAACTATACAATTATACAACAAAGTCAGTCGGGTCTGATCCAAGTGCAGAAATTATGACAAGTATAATGGCAGACAAAAGTGAGACTAGGTGCTGAGAGTAGAAGAAGACAAGTATGATTAACATATGCCATAGTAAGGTCCTTAACTTTCCAAACCTCAACCTCACTCGAGACAATTATCCATTGGGGAGACTGCAAAGCTGCAGGCATTATACACTCACTTATGAGGCTGCTGGAAAAAGTGAAGGCTGATAGTCTCCCTGAGGGCTTTGATGATGAAATTCAGGAAAAATAACCAAAAATATACTCCAAACTCTTCCAGCACATAGGGAACACATGAACCAAAGACTCTAAAAATGGCCCCATGAACGTTTGTCCTTAGAAACTTGAGTGCAGCCTGACATTTGTGGATGAGTGTTCTGTTCCTGGAGGTTAAACTATCAACGATTTAAACACTTCACTACATTTTACTCTCTTTTGATTTGAGACAGAGTAATTGTCTTATTATCCCACTTAACACAAATGGAGGCCAACTTAAAACTAACATATCTGAGGGGAACCTATATCATAATACATGGCAATTAGAATCACAGCATTGTTACACTTTCTTCAACTAAAACATTGAAATATCCTGTACTTCAGAACTTCAAGCACCATTTTGTTCACTATTTGAACTTATTTGTCAGAATTATTTGTTTATAAAAAGCAATTCCCATTATACATTCAAGGTCAGTCAATACCCCACAACATAGTACAGTATAAACTGGACGCAGCCTTCTTATTCACTTCCTGATCTAAACTGTTAGATAGTGTTCCTGTGGGACTATGAACAGAGGCTGTGCATCAGTCATGGGTGAACTGAAATATAAATATAAAATTTGTAAAGTGCTTCGGGATCCTTCAGGATGTGTGGTAGATAAATATCTAGTTATTATTACTCTAATTATGATTACATACAAACTTGAGATTCCTGTGCTTTTTTATTTTTAAACAGCTTGAGAAATCAGAACGTTCTTCAAGAAAAAAAAACTGCCCCTGTTCAAAACACAATTTAATCTCCCACAGTAATAGTGGGTGCACTACTCATCTCCTCCTGCTGAAAGGTTGTACTTTGTGGCACAGAACATGTAGCTGTGGGAAAAGTTGCAGTGTCACAAACAGATGATTATGAGCTAAAAGTCTGAATGGGAAGGAGGTGGAGAAATCTGTCTTTAAATACCAGTATCAAATAGCTACCCGAGAGAGGAATTCCTGAAAGGTAAATGGATTTCTATTTAAAATATTATTTTCATTACCCTTTCACTGAGCGCAAAAAGTATGCCAACAACATTCTGAAAGCAGCAGGAAATGAAAAGAGACAACCTGAAAATCAGTATTGTGGTTTCTGACCCTTTAACCTTGCTCTTCTGGCTATGCTGAAAATGACCATATTTTTGAACAGTTCTAGTGTTTCTTGTTTTGCTATCATTTAGCTTTTCTTCCTTGGTCTTCAGTATTTAATAGCATCAAAACTTCTAATTTTTGTAAAATTTACATACCCTGTCTTTATTTTCATGTAATCTAAGGGGCTGAATGTTTAATAATGATGAAGACAGAAAGCTAAAGGAAATTTAAATACTACAATATTCTTTGTTTGTTGTGCCTATAAAACTAGTAGCTCATGTAAAGAAAATGAAGTTACACGTACACCCACGAGCCTCCATGCCTCACTAATAACTGCATACTGGAGACGGTTCAGAACAAACCCATCTATCTCTTTGGTTAATTTGACGGGTGACTGTCCAATCTTCTTCATCAGAGCATGGGTTTTATCCACTGTAGAAGGCTCTGTTTCTGGATGGGGAACCAGTTCAACCAGTGGCACGTAATAGGGCGGATTTACCTTGACAAGGACCAACAAAAAAATATTTGTATTAATTAACATTGTTACATTGAACCAATTAAATTTAAAGCCTATTTCTGCTCGTACAATTTTATAACAGAATGGGCCTTTTCCAATAAACAGAATGGGCCTGATTTTCAGAAGTACAGGGCAGTCACAAAGCCAGTTCACAACAAGAATGGCATGCACTCAACATATCAGAAAATCAGGCCAAGGGGGCCAAATCCACCACGGCTTTAACTCCACAGAAGTCAATGGAGTTACACCAAGCATGAGTTCACTCCAATATTATCAGTATACTTTATGCCAATTCAATTCAATTCATTCATTTCTAATTTTCCAAACTGTTTGTTATTCAGATGCTGATTATAAATAACATACCTCTTTTCAAGAGAGCATCTCAAAGGAAAGATTTTCTGCAATAATTTTGCTGTTGTCATAAGTGAACTACACTTCCAAGCAGTCTACACAACTTCTTTCAAGATTCATTTATTTTACTTACTAATTTATATTGACCTGCCCCTCTAACACACTCTGGGTGCATTAGTGAATGTCACATAAAACACTATTCCAAGAAAGCTACAAGACAGAGTGCCTCCAAAAACTACACCCATTCATTTAACAAAAGAGAAACCTCTCCCAGCCATATCCCAATCCCAAGAGCATTTCTCACCACAATCAAGAACTTTATTATGTAAACATTAAGGAATAATTAAATAAACAGTTCATTAAAGTTCTGGAATTCTGAAAGAAAGTCCTATAAACAGCTGGAAATTGTACCCACATTCCTTTCCAGCACTCCATGGAGCCACAGGACAACTGGCACCCATGTGAGTTTCAGCAGACAGTTCAAGGACTGCATGGGCATGGACACATTTCTGTCAGTGGCTGGTTCTCATGCCCTGCTCTCAAGTTCTTATACGGGCAGCTCTCATGAACAATAGTATTGTCCGGCAACAGCACCCGAAATGCTATAAATGGCCACTATACATAGTATTTGCATACACTGGATTGTAACAAAGCATCAATGCTGCCCCCAACCCCTACTGCAATTGTAATCCCATTCACTTTTCCTCAACTGTGCTCATCTAAGTGCAGACTTTGGTGAGCAATGTGCACCTTTCGCCAAATTATCCATCTATGGTACTTCTAAAGCCCTCATTACCACAGCACCTGAGCACCTCACAGTCCAACATTAAGAAAATACAGTTATTTTACAAAGGGGGAAACTGAGGCACAGAGAGACTAAGACTTGGTCATACAGAAAGATTGTGACCAAGCATGGACTTGAACTCAGGTCTCTCATATTCTAGACTAGTGCTCAGACCACTGGACCATCCTTCTTGTTATGCAGAAGTCTTTCTACACAGATCCTGAGCTAACAGGGGGCTTTATTTTCAGGTACCTGAATCTCCTGCTGACTTCAGCTGGAGTTGTGAACCCTCTACACTTCTGAAAGTCAGATTCTGAGCGCTCGGCATTAGCCCTTGGGCACTCTAGGCTCCTTTCAGGAGCACTCAGCAGCCTGCAGGATACCACCCTGGTATTAAAACTCAGATTAAACATGTAGGATTAAACATAAAGCAATTAACAGAGTCTGTTGGAGTACTTACAGGATGTGCCACAATACACTGCTTCACATGTTTAAGGCCAGTGAACAACTTAGTAGGCAAAAGCGTGGAAGTTGAGCTGCTTAGGATAACATCATTACTGACAATAAGATCTAACTGACCAAAAATCTTCTTTTTTAATTCTAGTTTCTCTGGCGTGCATTCCTGGAATAAAAAGTAGTAATAAATAGCATTAGAAATCCTCCAGTTAATACTAGTTATCAATACATTTATTTATTTTTCCAACACATATACTGAAGCTTCCAAAGAGATCTGGGCACCCAGGCAAACAAACAATCTAAAATACGTATGCAAACAGATTTAGATGTACCTGCCAGCCATAATACTCTTCTCAGATCAACTCATCCACTTAGGACAGGTCTACATGAGGAAATTGACAAGCATAGCTATAATGAAATAATTCTTTTGCTATGGATAGGCCAATATAACTTCCCCATGTCGATGCGCTATTCTGGAATAAAAGGGACTTTATTTCAGAACAATTACTATTCTTCAGCATAATTCTGCTATAGCAATGCCGGTCAATCTCCCTATGTAGGCAAGCCGTAAGTGAACAGATACGCATTGCAGTGTGCCTTAAAAGGTAGGCAAACTCAGGATCTGTAGGACCAAGAGGGACAAAGCAAGTTTCAGAGATCAGAACCCTGCACTGGAAATGTCTGCCAGTGGCCCTGAGACATGCAAAGCTAGGGATTGACATCTGAAGTGCCCCAGATGACTTCATCTGTGAGGGAGAGAAGAGGTCTCCAAACCTTAATGGGCACTGTAGGTCAAAATATTCAAAATAACCAGCTGGAAGTCAATGCAGTCTGTGGAGCACATGTACGAAATTTTACTATGTGGGTGGACAGCCATGTTCTTCACTGCCTGAAGTTTTTAAATGGTCTCCCAGTGCAACCCCATGCAGAGCATGCTGCAGTAAGCCAGTCGAAGTAACAAAGGCACAGAGGATGACTACAGTGGAGTCCATATCCAAGAGCAAAAGTTGCAACCTCTTTGTCAAGTGAAGATGGCAAAAATTAAAAACGAAACAAAACAAAACAAAAACCACACACAACTCTTTTCTACAGGCTATGGTTGCTCTCTGGACACCCAACAGTAGGCAAGGTTCAACTAGGATCCAAATTCATATGTGAATTTCTGTAAGAAAAGGCAGGTCTAGCCCCTCAATAAAAGGGCAGATAACATTTCCATCCTCTCCTGGGGTTAGAGCCCCAACCCACCCATCAGCATTACTCCCCTGTGTTACATTATGGGAAGAGATGGGGGAGGAGGCTTACATTTGGTTTATATAACTTCAGATGGACTCTCTGTGGATGTTTTGGGGTAAGGAATTCCACCAGACTGAATACAAATAGGTAAAAAATCTTTTTAAAAAATATCAGTTTGTGTGGGATTTTACTAAGCTTTAAGTCATAAAATGTCCATGACTCAGAAAGGATAAGTGAGGTCATTTAAGAACAGTAGATAGAGTCCATTGTAATAAATGCCATTATCAAAACAAAATGATACTCTGCTTGTAATTCCTGGATCAGTTAAGCTAGCAAGTTGGTTAAATTTAAATAGTTTCTTTTATCAAAGCCACAGATGAAGAGAACTCTGCAGATACTGTTCAAACTAATAAAAGAGTTTCACAATAAGTTCTCACAATAAAGCAATTCAGTGCGACTCTCTACCTGAAATACTATGCCTTCTTTCAGATCATATGATAATCAAAAAGGGAAAGCTCAGAACTGTAGGAAACCCAAACCAGCTATGGTTATGTAAGGTTTCTGAATGGAACATTTGCTTGAAGTTTCTTGTATAGTGACACAATTGTATTCAATTTGTTGGACCAGTGGAATAAAGTTTCTGTCCTTGTGAAGCTTGGAATTATTTTCTCAATCAGGGATACTGACTCCCTGAAGAACAGAGAGAAAACTAAGCCCTAAAAAACCTATTAATCTGGAACTTCACTTGCTGTCAATTAGAAAACTTGGAGAAGTCTGTAGCTATTCTGTTTACCCTGAGAAAAAGGAGATCAAATTATAGGTAGTTAAAATACAGTACTAAGCCTCTCATTTGCTCTCTGGAATAGTCAGTGCAATAAGGTTAGAGTCCATCTGAATGCATTTTAAGTGACACTGTATATATCTGTGCATCCCCCCACACACATTTTTTTGAGACTATCACACTTCTCTTTTGCTGCAAACAGTACACCCTTATTCCAAGTCTCTAATGCCTGAATAAGGTTACTATAACCCAGCTTTCAACTTAATTAAACCTTACAATAAACATATTTTGTAACAGCCTGATGAGAACATGCGAATTTGATGGCTTTCAACAACAATGCCCTGGAGAGGCTGCACTGTACAGAAGTTTGTTTAATACCTTTTAGAGTTTAACCAATTTCCAAACAGTGCAACCTTTCCAGTTAATCTAAAACCTCTCTGTGAATCTAAAATATAAATTCAAACAATTCAGAATAAATACACGTCCAAGCTGGAAACATTGACTCCACCTGCCAATTAAGAGCCTGATCCTGAGAGATCTGGCAACTCTAAAAGGGTAGCTGTACACTAGAATTTTTTACCTCAAGTTAATTTATTGCTATGCCTCAGCCTTGGGTAAAGTACAAATGTTTGTAACCCAGAACAAAAGGCCTCTAAAAACTTAGCTACCTCCAGTTAATTGGCAATCAATTAACTTGAGGTCAAAAAGTCTAGTGCAGACAAACCCAAAGACTTCAATGTAGTCTGAATTATCTTGCACAACTTCGCTATATTGTGCATTCAACGAACCTTTTAAAAGCCTGCTCCAGCCTTCATAACCTTAACATACTGTACCTGCCAAAAGCAAATTCATAGGTACTATGTCAATGTCTGGTAACACAGTGATTCTCAAACTTTTGTACTGGTGACCCCTTCACATAGCAAGCCTCTGAGTGTGACCCCCCCCCTTATAAATTAAAAACACTTTTAAATATATTTAACACCATTATAAATACTGGATGCAAAGCGAGGTCTGGGGTGGGGGCTGACAGCTCACGACCCCCCATGTAATAACCTCGCGACCCCCTGAGGGGTCCTGACCCCCAGTTTGAGAACCCCTGCTATAACAGCTAGAGGTGTTTATTATTATTATTGATTCGGTCTTCTGATACTAGATCAATTCTTTGTAAGAGAGCAAACAGGACATTCTCCCAGAATCTCATTTTTATTCAAAACTACTAAACATAATTGTTTCAAAAACGCAGTCAGTGGTTTTTTTGTGGTTAAGTCCTAACGTTAATATACAGTAATACATGACCATCTGCTAAAATAAATGTTTCATGGCTGTTACAATATTTATGGGCCACTTTTATTAAAGATTTTCATGTTTAAATGTGCATGCCTATTCCAAAGTTGCTGTTTCCACCATGTGTATGCAAGTAATTATTATTTAGTATTTGTATTGCAGTATCATCTCATGGCCCCAGTCAGGGACCAGGGCTCTGTTCTTATAGACACTGAACACATATATAATAACAAGAAGTCCCTGCCCCAAAGGGCTTGCAATCTTGGCCTTGATCCTGCAGTGGTGCATTGCAGGATTGTGACTACAGTAATCCTAAACACAATTTTCACTATTGGCTTGTCTGTACAGATGGGTAATGCGCCCTCTGGGGGTGTGATTTCTAAAGCGGACTAGTGAGTTGCACATTAGTTGGTCTGTGAGGACTCTGCCAGTGTGCATTAAAGGTTCCCCCACCTGCTTTCAGAAGCACGTTAGGGAACCTTCAGTGTGCACCCACTGCGTCTACACTGACCAATTAATGTGCAATACATTAGTGTGCTTTAGAAATCACATCTCACAGTGCACATTGCTGCCCTATTTTTCTCTTGGATGGGGTTGAGCAACTCTTATGTAATGGAGAGTTTCAGCTTCTAGCCTCAAAGAGCGGTGTGTCTTTTCTTAATGAAAAAGGGGGGGGGGGGACCTCTGAAAGGAAAAGCACAAATCAACATTGCCAGGGACATAATGGCACCTGAGGTCTTCCCTTAACCACTACCTCACTTTTCTGCTTTTCAGCATATAAAGCCTGATTTCAAGAAATGCTGAGCACTCAGAGATGCTCACATTGACTTTTACTGGAGTGGTGGGTGCTCAGCACTTCTAAAAATCAAGCCCATAATGTCTTTCCTGTGGCTATGGGAGTAACTGCTGAACCAAGGAAGCTGTGACAAAGAAATCCTGATCACTTTCTTATGATTACAAAGTGTACTCTGGTTATGTGAACTTAGATCGAGGTTTCCCTACACTCAGGGCCGGCTCTAACTTTTTTGCCGCCCCAAGCAGCAAAAAAAAGCGCCGCCCCGCCGTAACACCCCCCGCCGCGCCGCCCTGCTGCAACCCCCCCCCCCCCGAGTCCCCCGCCCCCCCACCCCCCCCCCGCCAAGCGCCGCACTGAACAGCCGCTGCCCCCCACCGCGCTGCCGAACACCCCCCGCTGTGCTGCTGAACCCCCCGCGCGGAGCGCCGCCGAACATCCCCCGCCGAAACCCTCGCCGAGCGCCGCACCGCCGAACAGCCCCCGCCTCCCGTGGAGCGCCGCCGAAACCCCCACCGAGTGCCGCGCCGCCGAACACCTCCGCCCCCCGCAGAGCACCACACCGCTGAAGCCCCCCCCACGGAGCGCCGCGCTGCCGAAACACCCTCCGCCAAGCGCTGCGCCGCCAGAACCTCCCCCCCGCCGAGCCGCGCTGCCCCCCGCCACCCCAAGATTGGCCGCCCCTTACCAGGTGCCGCCCCAAGCACGTGCTTGGTTGCCTGGTGCCTGGAGCCGGCCCTGCCTACACTACAGACCCCGGCAGGATGATTTCTCATACATATACACTTTACAGCAGATCATTAATCTCTCTGTCTACTGCAGCACTATTGTGATAGGAGCCATGTCCAGTCTAGCCCTCAGCTAGTGGGACAGTTGTTGAGATGCAGCAGTGAATGGAAGGATTAAAACACAAGAAGAAACCTTATGGTTCCGAGACAGACTCAATAAACCCCAGCAGGGAAATAAAGTGACATCACTTTTTCCAAATACTTTCATCTTCTTGCATAGATAAAATCCACTCAAAAAAACAGTGTGAAAAGATAAACAGAGAATTCAAGCATAGTTATTGCTTTATCATCCAACTACTGAAATAGTTAAAAAAGCCACCTGGATTTAAAAACAAAAGGCCTGATAAGTCTCAGCCTACATAAAGAATATGGAGGCAACTTATCAGTATATCGATAGGCACCACCAAATATTTGGAAAAGATATTTGGAAATTTAGTCAAGAATCCCTTGAAATTCTCTCATTGTGTCACTTAGCTATAAAGCTGGGGGCCATAGTTAGTTAAAGATAATTTTGTAAAAGTGCAGCATATCTTTACTAGAAAAGTGACTCCTGTAGAAAGCCGGCCACTTGGGAAAGAAATAATGTGCACGCTCCAAAGTTACTGCCAAGAAACAGTCCAAGCATAGCTCTATGTAAATTGAACATTATAACTTATGAGCAAATTATGGTTTTCTTCCAAAATTTGCATTTAAGATTTTTTTGGGGGGAGAGAAGTATATCTCTAAGTGGCAGTGGCAGTACAGGAGTACATCCATATTTTGACTAGCCCCTCCAGTAGGAAGGATGCATGTGTAAGAGCTGAGATACATGATGAGATAAACTGCAGAATCCGTGCATTCATTATCCAGTGGGTCAGAAAGGTACTGACAAAAATGGATTCAACAGTACAACAAAGAGATGGTAGTACATATGTAGAATCCCCTCTTTACACACACAGTTTCATACATTCCAGTGAGGAAAACAAGATCCATGCAACCAAGCTATGGAGTCCCGATTAGTCAATGTGCTTACTAGAAAAGGGGAGAACAAGCAAAAATGTGGTTAGGCTGCAAATCAGAAAACAGGATGTTCACTGAAACAGAAACCATAATTCTACGGCTGCTGAGCAGTGCGCAGGTTAAGCTCAGCATGAGTCCACCAGAATGCTGAAGAGGTGTAGTCTATGATCAAAGCCACAAGCACAACAGAGATTTGTGTCTGTATGGCACCGATGACCTGCATGATCAGTCATAATAGGTGAACCACACAACAGCAAACCAGTGAAACTGTGCAAGGTACAATAGGACTAACAAAGGTTGTGATTCAGTGCCCCCTGAAACTAATGAAGAGGCTCCTCATTGACTTCAATGGGGTTTGAACGAGTGCCAAAGCAACACACAGTGGGCATGCATACTGGGTAAACGAATAAAGGTAAACTGTGGTAAACCTGGCATATTCATTTTGATGGTGGTATGATCACCAAAAACTCATATTCCCCCAAAAGTTGTTTCACGTCAGAAAGTTTTACATGTAGTTTACTGATCTTGTCTGAAGAAGTTTTAAGTAAAATAGTTTTAAAATATTAGGTCATCCAACCTCAAAGTCTTTTACTTGTGATTCTTAGTTCTGCTAGCTCAGGCCTCTGCTGCAGATTGGGACCTATATCGTACTTTTCTTCTAGAAGTCCGAAAATGTAAATTAGAGCTAGGGAACAGGCGGTCATTTTTCTTGCATTCTAGATCATACCCTGATGTGCAGTCTTCTCAGTGAACAATAATTATCGGCCTGAAGCTAGCAATTCACACATTGAAATCCTAGAATTTTAAGAAGATTATTCATACACCAGTGTCTATTGTCTACACACACAAAAATTGAAATGGTTAGTGCATAAGAAGGATTACAAAATGAAAGTTAGTGGTGCATTTAGACTACAATGTTTTGTTTTGCTGTTTGTTTCAAAGCAGCTTCTGAAACAAGCAGAGAAACAGAAATGCTACTTGTAGTTATTACAGCCAAGATGAAAGCACCAGTTTTGTTTCCAATCCCATGATTACGGTTATATGTGCCCATTCCTTTTGCAAAAAAAATCATGAATAAAACTGTAAAAAAAATATATATATATTCTTGACAAATATATTGTTGGCAAATGTAGTTTTGCCATTCTAATAAACGGTTAAATGACGAATACACCAAAATATATCTAATAACTTAAATAAAGAGAAGAGCACTTCCAAAGATTTACCCTTATTTAACAAATCAGTTAAAACTTTCAGCATTATGAAAATGGGAATAACTTTGAATTTTTCCACTGATAACTTTTGGGATGGTTTAGTTTTTAATTAAAAAATTGCAGATAAACTTATTAGCATGCATTTTATTAAATCTCCAGGACGCAGAAGATAGTTCAGTGATTGATTTAAATCAGGGGTGGCCAACCTGTGGCTCCGGAGCCACACGCGGCTTTTCAGAAATTAATACGCGGCTCCTTGTATAGGCACAGACTCCAGGGCTGGAGCTACAGGCGCCAACTTTCCAATGTACCGGAGGGTGCTCACTGTTCAACCCCTGGCTCTACTACAGTCCCTGCCCCCACTCCACCCCTTCCCACCCCCTCCCCTGAGCCTGCCGTGCCCTTGCTCCTCCCCCTCCCTCACCCAGAGCCTCCTGCATGCCACGAAACAGCTGATCGGGAGGTGCAGGAAGGGAGGGGGAGACACTGATTGGCGGGGCTGCCAGTGGGCGGGAGGCGCTGGGACCAGGAGGGGAGCTGATGAGGGGCTGCTGACATATTACTGTGGCTCTTTGGCAATGTACATTAGTAAATTCTGTCTCCTTCTCAGGCTCAGGTTGGCCACCCCTGATTTAAATAAAAAATGGTAGAAAGCTTGCCAAGACTGTAGAATACACCACCACAGACAAGTTGATAAAAATCAGACAGTGGCTTCTGTCTCTAG